ATTAATTTAAATTATAGACATAATATGTGAACAAATAATTATCCAGTCTTCAGTCTTCAGTAATAAGGATAGTAGGTTGATGAACCTGTGTTAATCCTGACAGATTTCCTTCCAGTGAAGGTCCAGCTTCTTTTTGAAAATGTTCACTGATGGTGCTGATACCACTTGTTCTGGTAAAGCGTTCCAGTCATTGACCACTCGATGAGAAAAACGGGACCCCACCTTTAGTTTATTAGATCGCGGTTTCAGAACCTTCTTGCTATGACCCCGGAGATTATTAGTGCTGGAGGGAGCAAAAAGGTAGGACATATTAACACCCAGATCATAATTAAAGATACGAAATGCCAGTATAAGGTCACCTCGCGTCCTACGATAAGATAAGGGGAAAAGATTTAGACGTTTTAAACGCTCATCGTAAGGGAGTTTGGAAAGACCCTTTACTAATTTTGTCCCTACACGCTGGACACGCTCAAGCGATTTAGTATCCTTTATCAGACAAGGGCTAGCTGCTTGGATACAGTATTCTAAGTGTGGCCTTACATAGGTGGGATATAAAATTCGAAACATATCCTCGTCAAAGCATTTAAATGCTCTGCGAAGCGACCATAGCGCGCGATAGCCTTTGGAAGCAACCGCACTGCAGTGCGTTGTAGTTTTTAAGTCGTGACTTATAATTACTCCTAAGTCTTTATGCGCATGAACGCGTGGCAGAGATGTACCATTAATGGTATAGTGGTAACTAATATCGTGCCCGATGTGCATGAACACGCTCTTCCTAGAATTAACTTCCAGGCCCCAATCATGAGCCCACCTAACTAATTCGTCTAAATCTGCTTGTAGATAACAACGATCAGTCTCATTTCTTATTGTTCTCCAGATTTTAACATCATCCGCAAACAATAACGTCGACGACTTAAGTAATAAAGGTAGTTCAATAATATACAGAAGGAAAAGTAAAGGGCCCAAGATGGTGCCTTGGGGTACACCACTTTTGACCGGTTTCCATTCGGATAGAGTTCCATTGACTCTCACTCTCTGTCTGCGGTCACATAAGAAGCTTCCTATCCATTCCTGTATAGCACCTGTTATACCAAAGCTCGAGAGCTTTTGCATAAGACCTAAGTGTGAAACCTTATCAAACGCTTTGCTAAAATCTATAAATATCACGTCGACAGACTGGCCGTTGTCTAGTGCAGCTGTCCAATCCTCTCTCGCAATGAGTAAGTTAGTCAAGCATGAATGCTTGTTACGAAACCCATGTTGCTCGGGATTGTACGAATCAATGTGGCTCAGTAGCTTAGCCCGAATTAATTTTTCAAGTAACTTAACTACTATACTGGTCAGGCTAACAGGCCGGTAGTTAGATACTATCCGTCTCTGACCATCCTTAAATATAGGACTAACTATGGCGTCTTTCCAGTCTCTAGGTAGTTGAGCCTGTGAAAGGGACATGTTGAAGAGCATCGTGAGCGGTCTTGAGATAATGTCCGCAAGCGACGACAGCAAACGTGGGTGTAACCCATCGGGGCCCGGTATCTTACAAGGTTTTAGGTTAGTTATCAAAGGAAGAACTATATCCTCTGTCACGTGTAAAGGTCCTATGGCTGGTATCTCATTGTCAACGGGACAAGTAGTTGTAACACTACACGTAGAATAGACTTCACTGAAATAGTTAGCAAATAACTCCGCTTTCGCCAGATCAGATTCAGCCAATAAAGCTGAATTTTCGCTTAACAGTAATGAGGGGATGCCATCACTACGTATCGTCCGCCTTTTAACGTACGAAAACAGGCGCTTCGGACAGGTACGGCTATCGTATGCCAACTGTCGTTCGTAAGCCGTGCGGGATTTAGCTATGGTCTTTTTACATATATTCCGGATTTTTTTATATTCGCACTTAAATGATGCCTGACCTGTTGACAAGAATAAGTCCCAGAAGTGTTTCCTACGCTTCAACAGCTTCCGGGTTTCCTTATTAATCCATGGAGGGCAATATGATAACTTACGTGCTGACCATGGGATAAACGGTTGAGTTACGGATTCGAACGTAGACTTAAACCTATTCCATGCATCATCAATCGATCCATCAGCATCGACCGACCAGTCAATTGAGATAGCATAGTCCCTGATTGCCGGAATATTAGCTCTCCAGATATTAGGACGGGGTGGAGCTGATGCAAATTCTATACCATGTATCCGGAACTTAAAGGAAAGTACGACATGGTCACTATTCACCAGTGGAGGAAGATGTTGAATGTCAACGATATCTTCAGAGTGGTGTGTGAGGACAAGGTCTATCAATGACGGATTATGTTCCAAGTCTATATGTGTTGGCTTAACGATACATTGTACAAGTGCACATTGAATAATTGATGACAGAAGGACGCTATCGAAACCCCCACCTGGAGCTGTGAGCTCTATCCAGTTTATATGGGGTGCATTGAAATCTCCAACGATGAGACAACATTCTGCTTTACTCCAAGAACAGACGTGTTTTAGGATAAAGTCGTCAGCGAGACAACACGGACTACGATAAATTCCTCCTATCGTCACTAACCCGTTTCTAGACCTAATTGTACAACATACTACCTCACACGTACCACTTACATGCGCCTCCGATATGATCGAGTTAATGCGGAAGTGGTCCCTAATATATAATATTATGCCTCCTCCCTTGCGACTTCTAACTCTATCACTTCTGACACAGATGTAGCCTGAAATGACTGGAGAACAGTCTATATCTACAGTGAGCCAAGTTTCGGTGATAACAATTATATCCGGATTTAAATCGTCTACCATCAAACTTAGTTCAGACATCTTATTCCGAAGACTACGAGCATTCGTATAACACACATTTAGGGTGTTTTTGGAGACATGCGTTCTACCCACACAGGTCTCGGAAGCATTGGCTTCCAAGACCTGACTACCCGAAAACCCTTAATCATAAGGTTCGCTTCACCGTTTAGCCTTCGAGTTTTTAACTCTGTTAGGGCATTCTTCCACTTGATCCGATCCTCAAGTGGCCAGTCAGGTCGAATACGAATGTTTGAGTCACGAGTTTTGCGTGAGTTATTTAGTAATACGTCCCGTTCCTCAAAATTACCGAGTACTAATTTGAGGATCCTTCTCTGTTGGGTTTCGCCTCCAACATACTTACCAAGTCTGATGACTTTCGAGATATATACCCCTGGGACCTCCTCTGGCAGTATATTTCTGATGAGAGATTCCACTAACTGCAGGTCGTGGGCATGTCTCTTAGCGGGATCAGTGTCTTTCGATTCTGCCAAGTTCCAGATGATTATACTAGGCACCTGTTTAACTGCCTTAAACGTCGTGTTCACGGTCTTTGACCGTGATGTCAGATCCTGCCGGTTAGCTACCGGCTTCTTGCTATTAGCTTTCTTTATGACAGTGTCATGTGGGTCAAGCGAGTTACTCCCAACAACATTTGGTGAAGTTAGACTATTTCCATCCACAACAGTATTAATTATTTCCTTACATTTGGACTTGAGCGGAGTTGCCTGATGCTCAGGACGTGAGTCCAACGATGACTTACCGACTATACGCGCGCTTTCTTTGGGTGTTTTTCCGTCTCTTTTGCGTTTCCGCGTAATCCATTTGCCACTATTCTCAGCATCCAGATTGGAACTATTCTGGACGATAGTGGTTCTAGCCGGGTCCTCAGTCGCTGCTAAAGCGACTGGTCCCTCAGTACTTAATGGCATGGCTTTCATTGGTTGTACCGGAGTACAAATTTTTGCTTCCTGTTGCGAAATTGGGTGTCTGGTACCTGCCATGGCAGCATTTACGACACTGATACAATCTTCATTATCAGTATCTATGTTGCCGGCACGGCCTACTTCGACCTTTTTAGCTAACGCTAGAAGGCTGATGGCTTCCTGAATGAGTAATGTCTTACTTGAGCAACAAAACATACAGAGCCAATGAGAATTTGGTTTCGAGCACCTTTTATAGGCAGCAGGGCTTAAGCGGGTGCACATTTTATGAAACCACTTCTTACAATCGTCACATTGCATCCCTTCTTCCACGGGGAATAGGCAATATGGCTGTCCACACTTGTGTACTGAGCCGACCATCTTAGAATAAAACAAAATGATAGGCAAGGTAGATATGTAAGATAAATCACAACCTTATCAAATAAACAAGCCTCAGTCGACCAAGAATGCTTTGATGCAGTAAATACACAAAAGCAGAATCAAAACACACAAATACAATGTCACGTTAACTGAAATAAATTCAATTAAAGTGTAAACGGTAGTTTTGATACGTAATTTACGATCAAAACAGTGAATTAAACTCAACGTGAAACAATACCACTGTCCTTTTAAATAGCGCGCGCGGTTTTCCAAAGGAGTTTTGTGGATATTAAAGTAATTTTAATAGTTGAGATCCTGAATTAATTGGAGCTAGACCACGATGGTCTACCTTCAATTGATTCTGGATCTCCGCTATTAAAATAATTATCCAACAATAAAATACAAGTCCTTATCAATGTAAATTTACATGTACATGTACATGTTGCTCAAACATCGTGGATTGGTTGAAGTTAAACATTAGCACCGTTGGATGCCGGCTCAGCGGTCTATCGGTTAAGTGCTCCGGCGCGAGTCTGGTCCTGGGTTCGAATCTGGCGGGAGCAGGATCGTGAATGCGCAATGCTGATGAATCCCATAAGAGGACGAAACGGCCATCCAGTGCTTTCGAGTTTTTCTATGGTTGTTTAGCTTCAATTGACTCATGATTTCAACTATGAAAATACTGAACTCTCCATAAAAACCCTTTCTGATGTAATTAAAAGTTAAGTGTTGATATACTTTAATGGATTCTTGAAATGACAGGTGTTGAAATATTTCAAGATAATTTTTGTTGCGTAATATTCAAAAAAAAATCTAAAAGGTTCAGGAAAGGAAAGGTAGATTAATTGAATTCAAAAGATTATAATTGTCATTCAAAAAATCCATATATTCCTTATATTTTAGATTAACTAATTCATATTCAATGACTGAACGAAGTGGATTTTCTCGATTTGGTCGATTTTCAACATTAAAACGTCGTACAGAAAAAACTACTTCCAATACAAATACAAATATTAACAATATTGTTCCTACTATATCAACAGATTATCCAAATAATGAAACACCGAAATCTGCACCAGTTAAAAGTGAAGATTTAGATGTTATTTATGCATTTATAAATGATGAAGATATCACGAAGTAAGTGAATTCTGATACTAATCTTTTGATTTATGGCTTATATTTTTGAATAAAATTTCTGTACTCAGTCTAGACCAATATATTTAATTTACTAAATTTCATATCAGTACTATAGAATATTTGTCTGACTTATTATTTTTAGAAAATCAAATACTTTGGTCAATTTTTAAACCAAGAACATTTACTTACTTACTTACATCAGTTACCCCTCGGGGGAGGAGCATAGGCCGCTCACCAACATTCTCCACCCAACTCTGTCCTCGGAAATCCTTTCCAGTTAGGTCCAGTTAACATTCATCCTTTTCATATCTGCTTCTATTTCTCGGCATAATGTGTTATTTGGCCTTCCACATTTTCCGCTTCCCTTTCACATTCTAAGTTACCGATTGCCTCGTGATGCAGTTTGATGATTTGCTTAATGTATGTCCGATTCACTTCCAACGTCTTTTCCTAATTTTCTCTTCAGCTGGAAGCGGGTTTGTCCTCTCCCACAGAACACTGTTTCTGATAGTATCTGGCCAACGGACATTCAGTGTCTTGCGTAGACAACTATTTATAAATAATTGTACCTTTTTGATGATGGTTGTGGAAGTTCTCTATATTTCATCTCAGTACAGTAGTATCGTCTTGACATTCGTGTTAAAGATTCTCACTTTAATATTGATTAGGCCTGACACATAAAAGTTCTATACACTTTTCTTGGTCAATCGATAAATTTTGTGAACACATAAATGTAAATAAACGTTTTTGTAAGTTTCAGCGTCAAGGTTGGACTTATTAGTTTCAAATAAATTGTGCAATGGGTAAAACGTTAGTAACAAATATATTCTATACCATATCTGAATAAGTAGAAAATTGTATTTCTGGCATTTCGTAACCGATCGATTATTTATTTACTCTGAAGAAGTAGCTTCCGGTAAGGCAGGAGACATCAGAAATACAATTTTCTACTCATTGAGATATAACAAAGAATATATTTATTATAAGCGTTTTATACTTACGTTTTCTAATTTGAAAGTAAACAACTTCTCAATCAAGTATCCTTCCAGTAACGGACCATTTCTGACGTATGATAAAAAGAGAAATTATTAGGTTCTTAATAAGGGAACATAATTATCTTTTCATATCCTATTATCCCTTTTGTTAAATAACAAAACTCTGCTAGTAAACTCCAGAACTGTTTAGGTTTTAGCATCTATCATCCTCTTCAATGTAAGGATGTGAGAATTCACTCTTACCACAAAACTACTTATTTTAAGAGACGATGGAAATAACATTGATAAGTGTAAAGTTCATTATTAAAGATAATCCTTGTAGTTAGTGTTTATTACAAATTTATCTCACTCAAAGTATCCTCCGTGAGAAGAAAGTAAGTAATTACTTTCAAATAGTTCTATTTTAAAGATAAACAACCCGCGCAAGCGCTTGGTTGAAGTTAGACAATAACACCATTGGATGCCAGCCGGCTCAGTGGTCTAGAGTTTAAGCGCTCACGCGCGAGAATGATAGGTACTGGGTTGGAATCTCGTGAGGGGGGATCGTAGATGAGCTCTGTTGAGAAGTCCTACAATAGGACGAAACGGCCATCCAGTGCTTCGAGGTTTCCCATGGCGATCTAGTTTCAATTGATTCATCATTTCAATTATATAAAATTACTAAAATCTCCACAAAACCCCTTCAAATAAACAACCATCTACTCTTATCTGATTTACATTAACATTTAAACTGATATCAGTCTTTGACGAATATAATTAACAAGTGAAATCAATTTTCACAAACTTCTTTTTTTTTTAAAATCTTCATTACAGTCTAATAAGTAAAAAGAAAATTATTTACTTCCATGAGATTAAATTTAATTAATCTTCTAATTTCCCGCCTGTTAAAGTGTTAAAGAAATTTCTTTTTTTTTTATATTTTCATCTTGTTCAATGAACATCGTGACAAAATGGACATTTTGATTTACATGCCCTAAAGTTAATAATCATTAATTAAAATCTTCAGTCAATTATTTCTCCTTTTTTTGGTTGATAATTTTGGAAGATATTCAATACAGATCATCCCGGTCTAATTTGAGCGGGAAATTACATAATGAATTCTTAAATTATTTCTAATACTGAAAAGTTTGATGAATAGATAAATAAATAATTATACTGGTACAATTGAATCTATACTGCGCATCAGTTCGCTCTTTTCTACTTTACGGCTGTGAAACATGGCCATTAAGAGTAGAAGATACTCGTAGGTTACTAGTATTTGACCACAGATGCCTTAAAAATATTGCTCGCATCTGCTGGGATAACCGGGTAAGTAATAGTGAGGTTAGACGCAGGGTATTAGGTAACGATGGTAAATCAGTTGATGAGGTGATGAATCTTCATCGACTGAGATGGTTGGACAACGTGTTACGTATGCCTGAACACCGATTACAACGACGCGCTATGATGACTAGTATTGGGGATGGTTGGAAGATAGTTAGGGGCGGCCAAACCAAAACATGGCATCAGTGTTTGAAGTCACTAACTTCTAGCCTGAGCCATGTTGGCAGATGCAGACTACCTGGTTGGGGTCCGCGTGACTATCGTAACCAATGGTTGGAGACTCTAGTGTCATGGCTCAGAATCGATCACAATGGCGTACGTGTATACACTCTTTATCTTTCCTTAAACCTTGAGACTAAAATTGCTTCATAACTGTCTTCCTTCCTGTACTATATCCTTATATACAACCTATAATTTATATACTACTACCACCACTAAATGAACTACTTCTATGAATCCAGTGTTCATCTTGTTGTGCTAACGAGGTATGGCAACTTGGACCGCTGCATATATGTACCTGGTCCTACGTTGTAGCTGACTGAATCTTTACGTCAGCATTGATTTAGAGATAAAAATGCTTGATCTGATTCTAGAGTTACAAACTACTGAGGCTTTGTGCTTTCAAATGCTCTGGTAAGGTTGAGAGTGTGGAGAGTCAGCTCTTCCCTCTTGAAATGCTCTCACATGGCTATGTGCATACAAACAGTGACAGGAAAATCTTAGTCACTGCTGTCTCGTGGTAGAGGTGTTGTTTACAAAATTGTGAAGACGAAAAGTGAATGGCTGGCGCTTTAACTGAATTGGTAGACACAAAGGGTTCACATAGGGGAGTTGAAAAAACCTGATTTCAAAACAATGGTGAAAATGGGCTTCAGGATTCTGAGGGAAAAATTGGTGTGTGTGATCCTATTTTCGGTCGCCGGATACCACGGTATCGCATAATAATAATAATGACAATAATGTTTGGCATTGTGGAAATCTTTGGAAGGTAATGAAAAATTGAACTATTTTTTCTGAGTCAAAGAAATACATAAATATACTATCTACCAGAACATATTAAAAGCATTGATTGTCTAAACATGGAGTGGGGATTTATTGCTTTTCGTTCGACATTTTAGCGATCACAGTTAGTAGTTCCTAATAAACTCATTTTAAAGATTCTTTACTTTCTTATCAAATGAATTTCAAAGTGTTTCAAATGGGTAATTATAAATATTTATTTCCTATGTTTATAAACATGAATATTAATCCAAAAAACAGGTATTCCTTCTGTTATAACGTATGAGTTGCCAGTTGTTATATCGATTGCTTGCGTGTGCCCTATTTCATATATGGACGTGATGATACCCGCCAATGATAGAAGAGTGAATTATCGATCGAAGCAATGATACATAAAATCGTACAAGCAGTCTAGAGTGCTAACCGGTCTTGCGATCTGCCTAGCCCAGCCAGTTGAGTTCAGAACACAAATAACAGCCTCGGCAATATGAATCATTATTCACAAGCATACTAGGTTTATATACAAACCAAAAAGACCACATTATACCAAAAAATAGAAAAATAACATTTGTGCAATAATTGGCCAATGTGCTGTGGATTGGGGGAAAGTAATCAATAATAATAGTTCAAAGGTCAAAATAAAGGTTATGATAAGAGGAACACGAATACGATTAGGTCAGTTATTTATCAACTATACAATAGGAAATAAGCATATTACATTTGTCCATAAATAGACCACAGATTTACCATTCATAATTCACCAGGGGATATAACACCTTCCTAATACAGAAATTAATCTTCGGTCATTGTTTTTGTATCTTTGACCTTCATATTTTAGTAAACAATTCTTTTGTGATAATTTGTGCTGATATAATTGAATAATTTGTGTATAGGAGTTTGATTCAGTTAAGTGATCATAGATTCTTTCTGAAAACACACATTCAGTTTAATTTTGGGTATGAGTTATACGGTTAAGTATTCATTATGGCTACACTAGTTTACCCCCAACATTCTATTTAACCATTCACTCAATTACAGCTATTTATTGTCCGAATAAGGTATTGTGTAAATAATACATTCTATTAACTGATTCTAACAATTCAGACATAAAAAACACAAAAATCAAAATTATGACAGTTTAGATGTTCACTCAATCAACGATACGTTGTCAGTTACTTTACTAACTTTGTTACTATATTCGTTGTACGATTGATATAGTACTCAAATCCTCACATTTTCATACGCTCATTTTAAAACGCCTGAAATTTATCCGAATAGCTGAAAGCACCCTTTGTTATTTAAACTAACTTTAATAGATACATAACTCCTCCTGTAGCTCTTCTAGAGTTACTGTCGATCCAAAGCCCGGGTAAAGCTCTTTGCAGATTACTTAGCCCTCCTATCTCATACACACGAAACAATACAGAAGATTACGGCAAGTGTTGCAGCAGACTCTGCACCAATAGACCTCAACATACACAAAGTTAAAAGCAAGATTCTCAAATACAACACGGAGAACACCAACCCAATCATATTTGATGGCGAAATTCTGGAAGAGGTGAAAACATTCACGTACCTGGGATGCATCGTTGATAAACAAGGAGGATCGGATGCAGATGTAAAGGCGAGGATTTAAAAATAAAGGGCAGCATTTCCACAATTGAAGAACATATGGAACTCAAAACAACTGTCACGCAATATCAAAGTGAGAATCTTCAATACGAATGTCAAGACGATACTACTGTACTGAGATGAAATATAGAGAACTTCCACAACCATCATCAGGAAGGTACAATTATTTATAAATAGTTGTCTACGCAAGACACTGAATGTCCGTTGGCCAGATACTATCAGAAACAGTGTTCTGTGGGAGAGGACAAACCCGCTTCCAGCTGAAGAGAAAATTAGGAAAAGACGTTGGAAGTGAATCGGACATACATTAAGCAAATCATCAAACTGCATCACGAGGCAATCGGTAACTTAGAATGTGAAAGGGAAGCGGAAAATGTGGAAGGCCAAATAACACATTATGCCGAGAAATAGAAGCAGATATGAAAAGGATGAATGTTAACTGGACCTAACTGGAAAGGATTTCCGAGGACAGAGTTGGGTGGAGAATGTTGGTGAGCGGCCTATGCTCCTCCCTCGAGGGGTAACGGGCGTGAGTAAAGTAATTAAAAGTAAAGTAATAGATATATATCCAGAATATTTTCAGCGCCAAACTAGGAGATTTATAGTTAACTGACTGTAATTATTGAAACGGAAAATATATGTCAATTATACATAAGTCAAAATATTGAAATTATATAAATTGCCATATAATAAGTGTTTAGTATAGGAACTCATTTATTAGTTAGCTGCTATTTCTATTTCATATTCAATATTTTTGCTTAGCTGATTTCCAAAATAAGTAATCTCATTTATTTTCAAAGCAAATTGATTCTATACCAATATTGTTATTGAATATTTTCAAAATAATGTTTATTTACTTTTATTATAGTTCACAGAATATTCCTGACCCTGGTAAACCACCAGATCTAGACGAAAAAATAGTAAAAGGTACATACTTTGTTTTATTTTACAAAAAAAAATAATTAATTAATGTGGATATTTTATAGTTGAATTCATGAAACAGCTGAAGCTGGACAACCGTGAAGAACCTGGAAGCACTTGACGGCCGTTTCGTCCTATTGTGGGACTCCTCACCAGTGCGCATCCACCGTCCCTTCTCGCAAGATTCCAACCCAGTACCTATCATTCTCGCGCGTGAGCGCTTAACCTCTAGACCACTGGGTCGGCCAGCATCCAACTGTGGTAATGTCTAACTTTAACTAATCCACGAAATTGAGCAACCGTCCAGCATTATCTTCAGTGAGTTACTATCTCACAACAGACCTGGTTGAACTCTACTGGTCACTGCTTTCACTAGAACTGCAGGAAATACTTCTTTAAGCCATTGCATGCCGGTTCAGTGGTCTAAAATTTAAGTGCTCGCGTACATGACTGATATGTTCTGGGTTCAAATATCGTGAGATGGGATCGTGGATGCTCACTGGTGAGGAGTCCCACAATAGGACGAAACCGCCGTCCAGTCGCTCCAGGTTTCCCATGGCGATCTAGCTTCGATTGAATCATGAATTCAACTATAAAATCACTAAAATCTCCAGCAAATCCATTCTGGTAATGTGAATATTTGTATTTTTGTTATGTACCGAAGAAATTTTTATATAAAGCATTATACTTTTCTAAACATTGTTGTTCAAAGTAAACATTTCATAACCATGAACTTCCGTCTGTTGTGATGGCGAAATTTGAATAACAATTTCAAATTATCAAGTGTTTCGTCATGATACAACAAATTTTTAACAAAAATACAAATGTCAATGTACTTATCTTAACTCTGTGCTGGCTAATTAGTTAGTTAAAGTTAATAGGTTTCATGATAAAACCACTAACTAGGTCCTATTTCTAGACGTAATTGAGATGATAATAACTACTTTGTTATTATCAATAAAAACCATTTGGAAAATTCACATAGTTGTGCTTCCATTAATATTCCATTTCCAAGACTCATTCAAAACAGTCGAGTGTAAGACATTGAGATTCTTTAATTAAATTCAATCCACCTAAATGATTACATAAGAATCAAGGTAATCAAAGTGTTCTCTATCGCTCTCTACAAATGTACATCCATCTCTTTAGGACTGGAATACAAATACTTAGCTAAGTGGCTCGATATGCCAACAAACATTACTATACATTTTCATAGTTCCAAGTAAATATATTAATCTATAGTCATTACTGGATAGTATACAGACTAATGCGAAGCAAGACTCCCACTAAAACTGAATAACTTTTAATGGATTATTTAAATTCATTATCACTTCATGTGACACTGGGTTTACTACAGTATCCCATTAATAAGGGTACGTTGTGTTGAAGCATTTACTATCGAGCTTTGAGCATGAAATTAGATATTAATTTCCTATCAACATAAAATGTCAAACTAATTCATGATGTTAAATCATCTTTCAGATTACAAACTGACACAAAACAAGACACCGTGAAAATCTATGCTATTCAATGACCCTTTGATCGAAATAACACAGTCCTGCTACTATAACTCCTTCTAGGTATCTATAATTGAAATACTAATTTATATTTGCAAAGTCCTACGAAAATTCTCTACCGTTTCAAAGATGGATCAGATCGTCAAATAATCAGTCAGTCAAACGAATCATACACATTTTAAAATATGTCACGAGAAGTTTCATAAGCTAATAAAATATGCAACGGATATACCATACAACGATTTCATACAGTCAAATAAGGTTCTGTTCTCTTCTCAATAATATGCCTCGTAAATACAACAGTTGTTTTTTAAAACGTATAGTACTTCATTAAGAATGAAAATTAAGATGAGTGGTAACTGATACTAATAAGCCATACAAAAATGAACATTAGGAACTCATTAACCAAGTGCATTCATTTGTACATTACAACTAAACCGTAAGACGCATTGAATTACACATCTTCAAAATCAGTTTCGCCTTTATTGTTTAACTTAAGATGAAAGTGTTGTGAACAGAACACGACTGGGGACAATCGAATGTATTTAAGAAAAGATTACGGACTATCTCAGTAAATTCTGATTACCAAACAATGAACAGTCAATTTGCAAATTAACAACCAATTGTTTCAATCTTCACTGTTTCTTCTCTTATTCCATTGCTCATGCATTTTCGAGACGATTGCGCTTCATTTCAGTTCTTTGCTCATCGGTCTTCTGCCAAAATACATTCTATGTCTGACCCACACCATATACTACTTATATGGATATAAGTAGACCACACCACAAAGTATTATGTGTTATAAAAGAACGAATGTGTCTTATTTTTTAATTACCAAAATGGAAAGTTTTTGAAAATTATATACGTCATGAACTGATTTTAGCTAGATGGCCATTAAAAACTAATGAGAATTACAGACCTAGTGAGAAACAGTAACTGAGGAAACTGATCCATACCAGAAGTGAGACAGTTATCAATGGCTGCAATCAATAATGGCAACACAATTTTGGGAAACAACTGAAGTTGGAAGTATTTGCCATTGCATGCCAACTCAGTACTACACCACTAAAACGTTTGCTGGAAGTATTGAAAGCAACGTATTATAATGTATAACTGTAAACTAAGCAAGACAAATATTAATTTGTGCATTTATGATATTCGGTGTTGTATTTTCTGTAGACTTTGCCTACTCAATATATCTATTGTTTGCATATGTTTCACACTTTTAGCATCAAGTGAACTGTTACCAATCTTAACAAAAGTACAAACACCAAATGATAGACAGTGCACAACTGATTCACTATCTACTAGTCAAAGTGAACATATAATTATATCAAAAAGTGGAAATCATTTAACACAACAGAAACAAAATTTTAATAGTCCAGCAATGTTTCAACATGATCCATATTTATGCTCATCCCGTGGATCTGAAGTTATTATGCATCCATTAACTGAAAAAGAAAAAATTGCTGTACGTGTTATTCGCAAAATGCGATTTTTTGTAGCACGTAGAAAATTTCGTGAAGCTCTCAGACCATATGATGTAAAAGATGTAATTGAACAGTATTCAGCTGGACATGTTGATATGTTAGCTAGAGTGAAAATACTTCAAGCAAGGTAAATAAATGTTTCTATTTAGTACTTTGCTTTGTCTACCTTTCATAGATGTTACTAAATATACTGAACATCTCACTGTAAACCCTTTAATACATTGATGAAGTTAAATTTAGTGTTACTCAAATGTATATATGTTGTACTAGAGTCAAGGTGAAAGTAAACTTTTTTTCAATATTAAGGTTAAAAGCCGGCATTCTAACACCCCAATGATTTTTCTTAATGACCATTATACGTATATTCAGCTTTCGTTTGTGAGCATTAATATAATTAACAAATACAAACCTTAAACTTCACAATAGAAATATGAAAATCTGCCAAATGCAAAATCCATTCAGACATGATTAAGGACGAATTGTTAAAAATAAAAACTTGGTGGTATGTTAACTACACAATATCCCAGATGAAAGATACCCATAATGAGCAACGATTTTTCGTAGCTGAAACCCTCCTACTGACTACCTCCATCAACGTGGTAAAAAGCATAGAATATTGTTATATAGAATCACAATCCAGCTGCTAAGTTCCAATTATCGCTAAGATCTAAAATAAATAATATTATCATTTTCTCTTCCGTGACTGATAGAGTAAACACGTTAGTCCCCCAGTAGGTCACATTTCAACATCCATATCTCTCTAGTAAAGTCTATGACTTTAGACAAAACGAGTTGAAATCCTAAAGTGAACATTATTTTCTTCAAGACTACAGATATACACTACTGATGAGCGTTGGCTAGCGCAAAACATAAGATTCACAACCTCCATTCGATTGCTTCCAGCAAACTGATTTAAAGAAAAGTTAGCCTGAAACCATTTGAATTTTCTTGTCAAACTTCCACTAGATATCAGTTGATGTTGAAAAATTGCTCTCAAAGTAACATAATTTCCAGATTCTTATTGGAAATATAGAACCTATACTTTATTGCGTAAGCTTGTAAGCTTTACACAACTACATCTTATAAATTTGTTTCAAATGTTTATCAAATAATTCCATCTTTTAGATTAGATCAAATTTTAGGAAGACCTGGCTCTAAAGGTGATGATGTCTATGATTCACATCAATGTTTAGCATCAAGAATTGTAAAAATTGAACATAAGGTAAGAAGTTTTAATTTTTTTTTTTAGTTAAAATTACTTTCTGTTTATTTGAGTCATAAATGCTTATACTAAAACAATATTTTCCCATTATCAGATTACTATGATAATCCCTGGTCCATGACACAACAAATCAGTGATGTCTTAAGTTAGTTTACTATTCTACATCAGATTTAATTGAGCTATGATCGCCTAAAATTACCCAACTGATTATAGTTTTCTATTAAATATAGACAATCTACGTAACACAGATATGTTTCGGGTTAGTAGTGATATTTATTGTCATCTCTTAAAGATTTTGAGTTTTATACTTTGAAGTTACCTGTTTATATAGTGATTATCTTACCAACAGTAGCACGTCTAAAAAGGGGCTTAGCATATTTCGTTCATAACAGTAGTAGAAATAATATTTAAAAGTTCAATTAAATCAAAAATTTCAATTAAGCAAAGATGGATAGTGGCTTGCAGTGGAATCCATGACTCGCGTTTCGTCCTATTTGGGACTCGTCAGCTGGACGTACCTGCATCTCAGAGTTGATGTTCACTCTGGAACTAGAACCGAGTACCGTTCGCTTCAAACGCCATCACGTTATCCACTTATCTACTGAGTCCTGATAGCCACTTGCTTGTGCAAATGGACGAAACGCGCATCTATGATTCCACTGTTAACCACTATCCACTTTACTTATAATGCTTGTGAATTAAGGCTATATCGAGGCAATAAGCACAGTATGCACATATACCAATAAGAGATTGATCAATCACAGTCCTAAACATCAATGGGAAGATTTAAGCAAATAATACCAAGTGAATAATTTTTAAATATTTGTTGACACAATGTTTAAAATTAATGAATCAATGTATGTAACTTGACGAAACATTAAGTAGACATTTCACAATTGATTGATCATTGGGTGGTGATCAATCTCATGTGTGTCAAGTCCTTAGTGCTGATCGAATGCTATCGATCAAGTTGCAATGTGGCCACCAGTCTAGGTGGCTCGACACTGCGTGCACTATATATATTAAGGTAACATAGTGGTTGGAGGTGGTCAACAGGAAACCCTGGAACCGGGTTCAATCAATTGTGAATAGATCTCAGTCCTAATAGCTCATTGGTAACGTCTCTGACTGTGAAGCTGAGTGACACGGGATCGAATCCGCCAGGGAGCATCAGTTCCCTCAAGATTACAGGTACACCTTGCTGATGAGTGCCAAGTAGCACGAAACCCGGGTCCAGGGTTTCCTGTTGACCACCTCCAACCACCATGTTACATTAAGTAGACATTTATTCAAAACGATAGTGTAGAGTGTAGTGAATGAAAAATGTTGGGTCTAACAAAAATTGTAGTGAAACTTCTTATCATAACTACTATCAGAAAGAAGTAATATGGTATGATTATATTTGCCATTAGAATTATTAGTTAATTAAAAGCTCATCTATGTTAAAACTGTAGATCACTGAACGTACATTTTGTCTGAGTTAAAATTTACTCAACTATAAAAGAAACCTTGTAAGACAACATATGTTAACATTTTAATTCATTTAAAAAATTGATCGAAACCGTTCTTCAATCATTAGTCTCAGTACCGTACTTCATGTAACTAACATATAAGTTTCCTTTTTATTTATCTATATCTGTTTAGTTCTGTGGAATGTAGCATGATATCTAGGTTCCATATCGATTTTCAAATGTTTCAAAATAGTAGTTAAGTTATTTAGATGACATCACTTACTGTTGAGTTATTGTAGATTATTAATCTTATACTCTAGAATATTCCTGAAGTTACTATCTTTTGCGATTTCAACACAAAACAAAGAAACTGCAAGTAAAAACTAGGTAAATTTCAACTTCAACCCATTGTACAAGCAAGAGGCTATCACGACTCAGTGGCCGAGTGGATAACGCGATGGCGTTTGAAGAGAAAGGTACTGAGTCCGAGTCTCAGAGTGAACATCAACTCTGAGATGCAGATACATCCAGCTGACGAGTCCCAAATAGGGCGAAACGCGCGTCCTGGATTCCACTACTAGCTACTATCCATCTTTGCTTACGATGCTTGTGAATTTAGGTTATATCGAGGCAATACACACAGTATGCACATATACCAATTAGAGACTGACCAGTTGCAGTCCTAAAAACATCAATGGTAAGATCCAAACAAACAATACTAAGTAAATTGCAAGTAGAAACTGTTTTAATGGAACTTAATGTTGTCAGGTTCTCAAAGTAAACAATATAATTAAATAATAAATAAGTAATTGCATTTTCTGTTCAACATTAACATAAAAAATATTTAATTTTGAAAACATCCTAACATTTTAGATTGATACTGTTGAAATGAAACTCGACAGACTGATCAATATTTTAAAAGCTGATTATATGTGTAAATACCGTAGTCAAGTAGAAAATACCGATGTCAGTGTGAAACATTCACTTCAGGATAGTATCCAATACATCCAACAAACTAACTGTTCAGATAAATTGAATCATCAAACTCAGTGTAATACACTTTTTTCACCACCATCACCACCACCACCACCAACAACAACAGGACAATATCCAAAAGTATCAGAAGATAAAGTGTTTGTAATTCAACGTAGACCATGCAATAGATTCCAGAAACAAAAACTAACTTCATCTGAAAGAAATTCACTTACTGTAAATTTTCCATTATCATTAATAACTGAAAGATGGAAAAGTATTGATGCTGAAACATCTACAAAAGATACTTATCCAAACAATGAAAAACTTAATACAAACACTAATATATACAATCAAGATAATGATAATAAGCATAAAGCATATTTAAAATCACAATTCATATCTCATTCTGAAGAATTTCCTTTAACAAAAAGACGAAGTTTTCCTTTACAATCTACTTCATCATTTAATATTCTATCAAATAGACAAGGATTGTCAACTTATTCAGAATGTTGTCTAAAAACAGTCATTAATACTACTAATAATAATAGAGATTATGATAATCATAGTTGTAAATCATTTCATAACATGAATCAAACTATCCATGATCTTAAAACAAATCAATATCCCATTAATCCTCATACACAAATTTCATTCAATTATTCCAATCTTTCAAAAAGTATGAATTCAATCACAATTCCCAATCGATATACTTCTTCAATTAAAACATCTTTACAAAGACAAGAAGAGATTAATACCCCTTTAGATTATAGATTTATTATAGAAGAAGAACAAGAAAGGAAATGTTTATTAGATTCAATTCATAATAGAAATAGCTAAAAAAAAGAATAACATTAATTTTGATAATGTTTAATTTCTTATCAGAAATTTCTTTTTTTTTCTTTAATGATTAATCATGTAAATAAAAAAAATTTCTGAATTGTTTTTTATACTACTGATATTACTACTATTATTATACATTATATACTACTTATTTAGTTCAGAATACATATATATATATATAGTATATTGTTGTTTTTTTTTCGTTGATTCTTCTACAATAAGCTGTATGTTGTATTTAGTTAACTTGAATTTGATTCAAACAATTCAATGTCTTCCTTTTTTAATGTTATTCATTCTTCCATAAAGAAGTGTAAACAAAATAAAGTCAGTTATTTTATTTAGGGAAACTGCTATAAAACAGAATCTTATATTTTTCACTCTGTCGTTCTTTCATTCTCTCGTTCTTTCACTCTGTCGTTCTTTCATTCTCTCGTTCTTTCATTCTCTCATTCTTTCACTCTCTTTGTTTCATTGTGTCATGTTAACTATTTTTTAGATTGATCCAATTTGTATAAATAAAAAATTAAAAAAAACAACAACACACTTTGATAGGAATGATTGACAGAATAATTTGTTTATTCTCTCTTTTGAATTTCAATAATATTTAGATATGGTTTTAATGAAAATAATAAAGAAAAAAAAGCACAACAACTATGAATTCCTGCTAACTGATGATTGAAAAACAAAAGAAGCCTTATAGTTGAAAGCATGAGTCAATTGAAGCTAGACCACCGAGGAAAACCTGGAAACACTGGACGGCCGTTTCGTCCTATTATGGGACTCCTCAGCAGTGCGCATCCACGAACCCGCTCCAAAAAAGAAGCCTTAAATTGAAGTATACATAGTGGACCTTCATTTTTGAATATCAAAATTATCTTACCATAAGAAAAGATAAAATCTCAGCATGACTACAAAAAATGTGTTGTATAATTAGAATGGGATTTACTACACTTGTATGATTTCATTAGAACTATGGGCATAGATTTGTCTGACAGTACGATTTTTATATTAAAAAAAAAGAAAAAAGAAACGCCCAAATTACTAAATAGATATTTAGATGAAAATGTTAGGTAACTCAAAATTTTGTCGGACAATCACTTTTGATTGACTTTTTAAAAAAAAATGAAAAGAAGTTGGTTATATGGAATCGCTTTTTATAAATCTGGAAAAAATGGGCGATAGTCAAATGTGTAGAGGATTAATTCCTCTATATCTGACTCCAATAAATAAATAATATCCTGCTAACTGATTATTTACTGCAGGCTAAATCTCCTAGTAGAAATTACGGGTTTACTCGAGATTATTGAAAAGCCTGAACACTAGTTATAGAGATAGTTTATTGATGAAGCTCGGTAAAAACCCACAAGCGTACAGATAGCAAGCACACCGGGAAAACAAGCGTGTGTGTGTGAGTGGTAAATAATCCATATATATTTATGAGTGTTAATGGATTGTGGATAAATTATTGATTGTCTTTGTTTACAACCAATGAGAGAACAGTTTAAGGATTGATGTGCAGACACATGCGCTCAATCAGACTCACACATAAATTTACAGTGGGTTAAATATTAGGATTACAGAGAGCACACAAAAAATGCAATTGTTCAATGGGCTTGCTACAAATGCAACTAAAACAATTAATATTATTTCTTTATTTTATCTGATAAATCTTACTAGTATGTTCCAAGGGAGATGTATTATTTAAGTTAAGGTAACCATTTATATGGTATCATTAATACGCAACAAACTTTTCAGATGCCCTCATCACAAGTTTCTATCATTATGTTGTCAAAGTGCTTAACTCGTTAAGGAATATTTACACTATTTTTATGCTTGATAAAATTTATCCATCCGATATCAATTCCTACAGAGAAATTTGATGTAATATTGTAACTTGAATTGTAAATTTGTTAGTACATGTGAACAGGATGTATTTGGAACCTTAAGTAAGTTGTTGATAAACCAGAACGTGGTAATGTTCTTGCTTTTGACATCATATTTCAGGACTTTACTGTCAAAGAAATGGATTAGAATAATTTTAAAGTTATTAATTGCATAACTACATCTGCGTCATGTTTTCTAAACCGAAAAAGCTACACATATTTTCTATGGAATATTATATTAAGTAGTAATGTTTGATAATTTCGTATGGTCGAATCCAAGACTGGCGTTTCGTTCTATATGATAATCGTCGGGTGGATATACCTGCATTTTAGTGGTAATATTTATTGTAAGTTTCAAATGAAGTACCAGCTATTTTAACTGTCAGGCTAATAAGTTTAGGTAGTCACTAACTTGTCCAAAGGTTAGAGATCCTTACGAATTTTCGTGATCGTTTGGCATCGTCTGTATCCTATTTAATTATTTTTACACAAATATTCCATTTATTTACAGAATTAATATTTCCATTATAATCTATAGCAATAAAAGTTAGCCGGCTCAAATAAATATTTGAGTGCGGCCCCCAAATGCCCTGGTACGGCCGAGAGTGAGGAGAGTACGCTCTCCCTCTCGAAATGCTCTCACATGGCCACGTGTTTATAGCCTCTGCCAGGGAAGTACTACTCACTGAGAGGACGAAAAGCGAATGTCCGGCGCTTTAACCGGGTTTGTGAACACGGAAGGTTCACCTAGGGGAGTTGGAAAACCCTGATTACAAACCAATGGTGCACATAAGCTTCGGAATCCTGAGGGAACCAAAGGCGTATGAATCAATCATTGGTCACCAGTTACCATGAGACTGCGTCTCCTCACGATGCTCCACTGCCTTGTGGATCAGATCTTTCGGTCAAAGGCTCCGGATGTGGCCCCTTAAAATTGATAAACTTCATCGTTTTGGGCACCCGGGCAGTATCACATCCCTCACACAAACCAAACGAGATTTGTGTGGCGCATATATATCTGGTGATACTTTGTACCAATATTTATGTGTTTAAAGAAATAATAAATAGATAGGTATTTATTATATCGTTGAAAATTCCAACATTATTATTTTGCTGTCTGACTAAAATCTGGAAAAATCTCTAATATATATGAGAAATCAATATGTTAAAACGGTTTGTAGTTGCTTGCAAATATTGAGAAATCTTGCATTTTAGGTTCGACAAATATAATAAACTTCAAAAATACTATTTGAATACTGTTTTAGAAGCATTATTTGTATTTTAAGGTTTTCTGAAACAGTGTTATATTCAGAAGAGGTTTTTGTCGAGATTTCAGTATTTTCATAGTTGAGATTATGAGTCAATTGACTCTAGACCACCAGGGAAAATCTGGAAGCACTAGACGGCCGTTTCGTTCTATTATGGGACTCTTTAGCAGGCGTGATCCAGCCTAGTTAGTATTAAACATTTCTAGTAATAAGATTTACTTTTAATATGTAACACTTCACTTCTACTCAAAGTTTGTGCTGATAATGTCATTCAAACGAATGATGAAAGCTCCACGACTAAATCATCCAACTCAAAAAACAAAACTCCATAAAATTTACTAAACAAACTTCAAAAGTTAGATTAACAAACAAATGAAGATATATATTCAGAGAATAACCAATCAATAAAAATCAGTATATACCTCAAATTCAACTCTTTTTTTTTTTAATCCTTATCAAATCTAATCAATATGTAAATAAAGATAATATCAAGGTTTCATATCAAGGAACTAAATAATCTCAAATATTAACTAATGTAATGATTCAAACCCCTGGAAGAGAACTATAATATATACATATAATTCTCATAGAGATTATAAAGTAAGAACTTAATTATCTTATTTGAATATAATTAACCAGGTAAGATAATTAAGTTTATATACAAAAAGATTTTTTTTTTCTTCCAATAAAATGGTAAACGAGATAAACAGACTTAATTAAGAGTTTTGTTCCCATATTTGTAAGGTATCAACTATTCAGTCTTAAATTTATGTAAACAATTTGAAAAAAAAATTTTTTTTTTTTTTTGAATTCTGATAGATATGTCATTCAAACTGATCAAATGATTGGTGAAATAAAAAAATAAAAAAATAGCAATATAAAGCAAAGCCTATTAATGAATATAATGTCAAGTTTATTCATCCATGATATTGAATGTTTATAACTTGTATTTATATATTTTTGGCGATTTCCAAGATTTGTTTTCTATTTGAACCTGATTATTCAGTGAAATGTAAGTTACCACACCTAATAAAAAGTAAGATACACTAGATAATTATTTTTAGTTGATACAATAATTTCCAACAATATTCACTTATACAATTGTCTGATATCAAGCCTCGAACTTGATGGATTTTTCAAAAGCTTTAAAGTAACAAACTATACGTTTAAAAACTAATTGTATAAATTAGCCTAGTAAATAAGAAGGATGAGCATCATACGGAGTAATATCAAACCGTTGCGAGACTATAATCTTTGGACGAGTTAATCAGAAACGTTTGAGGGATTTCAAGGTCATGGCGCCAATTTCAGTTCCTGATGCTCATGTGTTATCGGTTTACAGGGGATTTTAGAGAAGATGTGACAGTTGAGCAGTTACAACAAATCTGCTAGGACAGCAATTTTCTTCGCTCGATGCAGATTGAGACTAAGGCAAATCATAATAGTTGTTGCAAACTGGATAATAAAAGCACCAGTCACACTGGCTGCAGACCTTGCAGATGTAATCGAAGCTTCGCTATGTGTATTGTCGAGATATATGTTTAATAAAAATGACAAGCTTACACGAGTCAATTGGAGGAGTCGGGAAAATCGTTAAAATAGACGAAACAATAGTCAGAAAACGGAAATTTAACAGAGGACGTAATGTTAAAGAAGACTTGGTAAGTAGCATTTCCATAAATATACTTCACAGGTCTTTAGAATATACGACAGGTCATCTTAAAAAGGGACACAATCCCCATTTTGTGGACCTAACAACCGGAGTGCACACTAACAATGTTGAAGCTTTGTGGTCGAGGCTGAAAGACCTTTAGCGACTTTATCGTGGTTCCAGAGACCGACTATTATGGAGCCATATGGATGAATTCCTCTACCGTATGGATTACTATTTTAGAACCTCTCAAAGGTTTTGTAACCTTGAAAAGTTTTTGAAAAGAAATGTATCCATTTTAATTCTTTGGTTTTGTATAATATACTTTTACTCTGTACTAACTGTTTTCTGAGTGGCTAATATTTTTCAGGGTCACTTTAGGTTCGTTCAAAAGTCGTCCATAAATTATAGTCTCGCCCAAGCAGTAAAACAACTCATTCATAGTTATAGCTCATTAAGTAATTCAGTTAGCTAGTTTTATAAGTGTATTTTATTTAAAACATATTTAATCTCAAGCTAAACATGGGAAAACAATTATACTTAATGAAAATAAGGATACAGTTTCATTACACAAGTTCATCATTTTATTATTCTACTGAACAAGCTCACTTAAGTTGATTATGAAAAGCGTATGGTCACATATCTATAACAGAAAAACACAAAATTACAAC